ATATATATATATATATATATATATATATATGAAATCCATTTCACAGTGGCCTGTGTAAGTCCCCCTTATATCACGGGCTCGATCATAATAAAATGCTGAATACCTTTAAAAAAAAAATGAAATCTATTTGACCATAAAATTATAATAAATTTGGCAAATATAACGAGATCTAATAAAATTATTTTCAAAATAAAACTAAATTTTGAAAAAAAAGTAATTGAAACTCCTGAAATAAAACTAAATTTAAAATATCAAAGAGTTTCGTATTGTGGTTAAAATCATTTTTACACGAAATACCAACCATGAAGCATGTGAAAATAACGGCTATACGACCCAATATTTTAAAAAACACGAAATTCTTATGATGCATATCTAACACCTAAACTTCACATTTTTAACATTTACAGCTCTAAAATATTTTATATCACAATAAGAATATCATCATTTTAATTTAAAAAAAAAAAGAAATATGCATTTTCATGCCTAGATTAGGGGACATGTATGTAAAAATTAAAATTTAGTATATAAATACATAGAAATTGAATGATATGTATGTAAATATTTCTTAAAAAATATATAGGTTAATTAATGTACTATCTCTACATAAGATTCTTATATAACAAATATTGCAAATTTTCTTCTGTGATAGTTCAATGTGAGCAAATCGCTTTCAGAATAAAATTTAACTAAAATATATAACAAAACAAAAACTGTAGAATGAAAAGAACGAATACCTTCTTCCGGTCGCCAAAAGATCCTTTGTTCACATTTCCTGTCCTTTGCAGGGAATCCAATGCCCTGGTCTTCAAATCAAAGCATTCAGGACCAGAACAATCTGAAAAATTGCAAAATTCAATTTCATAATCCAGAAAAAAACATCAGAAGGCTCTTCCTGAACAAATACCTTCTTCCTTGGCTTCCATTTCATATTTTTTGGGGCATTTACATAAATAGCATAAAGTTTCTTTGTATTTGCATATAACATACATAAACTTTCATATTTACTCACACAACACAAATCTTTAATATCCAATGAAAGATATAGCACTATTATCGCTTTATAAAAGTGAAACACACATTTTCATGCATATGTTTAAAGCATCAAAATATAGTATATGTAAATATGACAGTTCAGGCGGGAAATATCTAAATACATTAAGTATTGTGTGCTACTCATGTGAATTTCCCTTTCATTTACTATTGACTTTGTTTTCATCAAGCAGTAGGCCTGACATCGAGGTGCCAAACCTTCCCGTCGATGTGAACTCTTGTGGAAGATCAGCCCCAGCCCGGCTTGCCTTTTGAGTGAAAGTTATATGCTGGCCGTTTGGGCCTTAGCATAGGCCTACCAAGACTGGCGAATTGAAAGGACTTGGTACACTGGCTCACTTTCTCCTCAGTCGTCGGTCTCTCCTCTGATCTGCACTCCTGTTCGTCTTTTATACGAGCTAAAATGGTTCCCAGAAAATTTTAATCCCATTGAAAGAGTTAGGAGTCTAATTTAAATTTTACGTCCCTTTACCGCTGCATGAAAGGCGTATTTCACAGTTTGAAAGTTAAAAGCGTATCATTTTTTATGTGATATTAAGGATTTGGGTAGTATAAATTTGAAAAATAAAATTTAGGTGTTAGATATGTAAAGACATAGGAAATGGGTGGTGTGTATGTAAATGCCCCCAAGAATTATCACCTATGAGATGCTATGTTTGAACACTCACACTTTATGATATTGCAGTTTAATGGAGGGCATTTTCATGTTTTTGGGTGCAGGTAAAACAAGAGAAGAAACTTGATCGAATTGGAGCGAAAACGGAGCGAAACAGAGCAAATTGGGCTAAGGAGAATATTTTTGGTATGACACCTAAGCGCTAGATTATAGAGAACCCGACACCTAAGTGCCGCATCCTGACGCCGCTTAGGCGCCAGTTAAGTTTGACGGGCTCTCGAAAAGGTGGCTCCTAGGCGACAAAACGACATTTGACAGTTTTGCAGCAGTTTAAGCATGAATTCAAGGTTTTTTTCCGAGGGATCTTCAATGTGTGAGGAGAGGAGAACATAAAGGAAAGTGTTAAACGAAAAGAGAGCTCAAGGAAGGAGAGAAATATTGAGAGATTCCAATTCATTGTTGTAATTTCTTTGAGAAATTAGAGTGAATTGTAAGGAACTGTTGTAAAAGTGAAGGAGATCTTTGGAGTCAACATTTGGTGGAGTTATCTCTTCTATTCTCAGCGAAGAAGAAAAGTCTTATTTATTTTATTGCTTTGTAGTAAGAATTTATTACATTGTGATCTTGTTAGTTCAATCAAAATGTTGAATTCTTGTGTGTTCTTCATGAATTCTGAATAATTTATTTTTCTCTTCCTCTTGTTATGAAGTAATATCATGCTTAGGATGTATATTTAATTAAAATGCAATTATAATATTTATTGTGATGAATTTTACTTCATGCTTAATTGACATTTCAACTTGGCCAATTGACTTGTTAAAATCCGTTGTGAATCCAATAATGATCCAGAAGGGCTATAGACTCCAACAACTAGTATGAATCACACTTAACTATAAGGTGAAGAAAAAGTAGTACGTAGATTGGTGCAAATAGATAGGGAGATAGACTTTGAAAGGTTTAGGAACTTAAATAGGTTAGTGAAATTGAGGGCACTAGTGCGTACTGTAGAGTGACAGACTAAATTTACCCAGCATAACCAAGGAATTAAGGACTTAACTCTAGGTTAATCAAGGTTCATTATGCACTTGCAAAAGGGTAAAGAGCATGCATGCTCCTATTTATCACAAACTCACTAAGATATTCTAGTTGATCAACACCGATTCTATGAGCTAATTTCACTACAAGGGGGAGAGGTACTTTTCACATAGCTTGAACTTTCCTATTTAGTTAACTTAGTAAACTATCTTTAAAATCAATCTCTAGGCTTAGTGAACTCTTTTTAGAATTGAAAGGCAAAACTTATACCAAACTTATTTCTATGCTAAGACTAATTACAGTAGGCTAGAACTTTTCTTAGATCTTGCATTGTTACCATTATTCCTCTTGGGATCGATATTCTGGGTTCTAAAAAAAAATATATCTTACTTGAACGATACGTGCACTTGCTTTTCATCCCTAGAAAACTCTTGAGATCTTTAATTATAAGTATATTTTCAAAAGTGTAAATTCCTAAATCACTAAGTGAAGCTGTCATATTAACTGCAGAGGCAATCAGATGCCTATTTTATTCTTCTAGCATGGTTGGGCTTCATTTAATAAGCAGGAGCCCTAATAGAACTCAAAAACATGTTTTTTATGATCCTACTAATTATTTGCAAGTTTTGTGGCACAAAGGTTAAAGACAAGCCTTCTGTTGGCTGAAAATGAATCCAAATAAAAGGAAATAAGACATAAACTTAGCAAAAAATAAAGGGAAACTTACATGCATACCACACAATTCTTACACATTTACATATCAAACATCTAAGGTTTGATATTTATGTTATGAGTGGAGACTGATTTTGTGAGCAGCGAGACAAAACACCTAGCTCCTATGAGTCGGGTTGTGGGCGCTAGGGTGTTGACCTCATTTTTGTGAGGTCTTTTCTTCATCTTCATAGACCCTAGGATCTAACTCTAGGAGTTTCCTACTGACTATCTTAGAAAACCAAAATTGAAACCCACCCTTTTAGAAATTCCAAAACACTTCCTATTTTTCCTGTGATGTTTAGCATTTATGGCCCAAAATCATCGTCTTATGTACGAGCAGGTTAAGGGTTATTATGTGGAGACTCAGGGAGAAGTTCCCAATAGGATTTTAGGCCCTAGGAAAAAACTGTCACGACTTTTTCGTCACAAACACACACCAAATGCACAAAATTCACAAAATTTCACGAGGACGGTCTCAATTGAACCTAAAGGACGGGTGAAAATGCGAACTTCTTCGGATGACCTCCGACGACAAATTGGACTGCGCCAACGCTTTCGGGATACCAATTTTGGTAGGAAATGACACATATTGTTATATTTCCGACTCGAAAAAATCGACATGCAAATCGATGAATTCATCAAAATGACTTCCAGTGGCAAAACGGACCGCGCCAACGCGTCTGGAACGTCAGAATTACCCAAAATTGACATTTATTTTGTGATGATGTGACACATTAATAAAAATACACAAATCAAATTTTATTTTTGAAATAATTGATATTTTCATGCTTATATTATTATTTATAATCTTAATTATAAGCTCTAAACCATAAACTCATACGTTCAATTACCCATTTATCCATCTCGTGGCTCAATCTTGCGGCTCGATCGAAGCCTGGCTTCCGCGTCTCCTCTGTCGTTCGCGAAGAGACCCGAGTCCCGCGTCTCCTCTGTCATTCGCGCATGAGATGGCTCGCCTTCTTCTCCTCACACCGGTGCCGATTGAGCATGCAGCTCGCCTCTTCGAGCTCCGCTCAACCGAGAGGGCCTCCAACTACGAAATTCCACATGGCCGACTGTCGGCACTATTTTTGGTGTGGGGTTTGCCCGTAAGAAGCCGTCAGTAATCGGAATTGAAATCCCGTTGCCCGCTTCGGAAAGACGTTTTTCTTTAAAAAAAATTTAGTTTTGAAAAAGATGAAGTCAAACTGGCCCCATAATTTTCATAGTTTAGATGAAAGAGCGCTTTACCTCAAATCCTGTATCTATCCCGAAGGATGAACAAAAGAATTGAGCGTGAGGCTCGATCAAATAAACTAAAAAAAGTTATGACATCCGTTTGGTCTGCGAAACCAATGTATTGGCCGACAAGTTCTCATATTTAATATAAAGAGTTAAATAGGGTTTATATTATGCTGGGTTCGGGAAAAGCTTCCTATAAGGGCAAGCCCCTACAGTTAATTACATCATAGATAACTGAAGTTACCTATGAATACTCTCGATAAAAATCAAGAAAAATTACCTTCAAGGAGTTCAAATGGTATGGACATTTCAAAGATATCGGACTAAGATGTGTGAAAGGGGATTGGTTCAAATTTGGAACATTTTGTTTTGGAGTCTAAAAGAGGAAACACTAGAGGATGTCACGGATCCGAAGGAGAACTTCGGTGACTTCCCAAGTTATTTTATTATTTGGCTTCAATTTAGGAGAAATCATTTAGATGTTTCATCCTGCAATTAATTTTTATTTATTAGGATTTACATTTGTGTGAAGCAATCAACACAAATAACCTTGAAGATGTGAGGATTTAAGTTATGACAAACGACTACCTCGGAGTCCTAAAGCGAGTTAGGGCTTAGATTGTACAACAGGATTGTACAAATGCCTAAAAGATGTGCTTGAGAATTTATGTTCCATTAGGCAAACAACCTCGAATTCCTATGGCTTTGTTGTTTAAAACTAAAGAAGGATATGTTGTTGTAGATCCTCTTGCTGTTGAAGATGACCGGGTTGCCCAGAGTGCTAGCTCTAAGCTCCTCGTTGTAGCAGATGTCAAGTTTTCTAGTTCATTTGATTATAATGTCAAATCAGGTGACCCTATGGTTAAAGTTCTTTAAAATTTATTATGGGCATATTAAAGTTGATTAAAGCGACACCGGCCAAGATCCCACGGTTTCATCGTCCCGGCACAACTATTTTCTATTGGAATCACTTAGTCCAAATGAATTTACTAAACTCAACTTAATGAGTTCCATAATTTCATTTAGACCGTGGGAAAACTCGTTAGCAACCGTAGGTTACCTCCTCCAAGGCATTTCCGATTTTCCAATAGAGGCATATTACTTTAGTTGAAGTTGTATTT